TTTTTCATACATGTTATAAATGGTAAACTGCACCCATGGTTAATTTTTTTTCCAGACACCTAAAACAAAATTGTGATCCACAGTGGTTAAAACTACGAAACAGTGCATCTCGCGGTATATATAGTTTATATACATTCAAAATAAATAATTTACCAAAGGGGCACAACCAAAAAACGATCGCATATTTCTAACTCACTTGTCAGATTCCGACCAGTTTGCTTGGAACACCTAGTTTTAGTGCTGAACAAACTAAGTGATTGCCAATTTCATACACAAGTGCTGTTTGGCTTTCCAGTGCCAACACAATCATTCCTTATTACCTTCAAGGATTGGATCTCATCCATATTTATTAATTTTGGGGGAAAAAAAAAAAAAAAAATCCAATTTATTTTATTAATAAATCTACATTTCAAGGATGGAATCAAAAGCACCTGAAATAATTGTACATTTTGTATCGGCCTTGCAAACGTCTAACCCCCCCTCCCCCCGCCTGTTTAGATTTAATTTACATTGTGGTTGCTCATTAGTCATGATGGTTATTTCTAAATTTATGCTAATACATTGCTTGTGTGCATCCCTGAATGGTGCTGCAATTCCTGGAGCCGTATGGCACAGATGCTGCCTGCAAGGTCGCGCTTGTCATGCAGAGTGTGTGGGCAGACGCCCCGCCTGGCACACCACGGGCAGACGCCCCGCCTGGCACACCACGGCGCCACGAGGGGATCGTTGGGTCAATTGTGAAGCTTCGAGCCGTTCGTAGAAATCTTCACATTTATGAACGCGTTTGTGTCGGATTCAGATACGGTGACATGGAGATGGTGCGAAAGGGCACACACACGCAAATATGAACACATTCGTGAAATAACGCTGCGTGGCCTTTATAGGAAGAATGCATAACGGGAGACGTTTTAGGCAATGACCCTTCATGGCACATATCCACGTGTGTGCTCTGGAGAAGAGACATTGCCTGAACGTGCGTTTAGTTATTTTTTTTGTTACATTGCCAGATGACAATTTTAAAACGACGCATGCATTATATATGGAATGGACGTATATTGTTGGTGACATTTTTAATGAAGCCTTTTTATAGAACATGAAGCAAGATACATACATGTCAAAAACTCTTTTAACTCGAGAAAAATGTTTTGCCCCCCTCCCCCCATCGAGAGAATGCAGAATGCGAGCGAGCGTGTTGGTCGACGAGCCTCCCATATCCTCGCATGCCTCCTTGCGGCACACGCGAGGCGAACACAAACCCAGTTCCATGCCGTTTTAACTCCGTCCGCCGGACCGTAACCACCAACAATTTACCGAGACTCCAACAATTTACCGAGACTCCGTGGACGCAAACGGTCGATAGCGATGCAAATGCGATGGGGCTATAGCCACTATAGGATTAACCCTGGAGGAAGGGTCTTTTGGACGGCAAAAATCATTCCTAATAATGCAAGATACAACTGCTGAAGCCCTGTTGAGCACCCAGGGGCTTGATTAACAGTGATATTGAAAACCAACTTCTCTCTTAAATGCCCTCGCTCAACGCCAGATCCACGGAGGAGCTTTCCCGTCTGGGAGTGACTCAAAGTGGCGACTGATCACACTTACAACAATCAAGAATGCTTTAACAAACGCATGAAGCTGTGTTTCCTCTCAACTTGTGAGCTCTTGTGAGTAATGTCTTTGCTATTCTAGTGAATATTTATATCATCGGTTTCAAAAGGTTTCGATACATATTTTGTTCTTGGAAGTCTCTTTCCAAGTACTGCAGAGTTTTAGGCTTTGGTTTGTGGTGAATATGCATTCGGCGAAGAATAATAATAATATTAATTAAAAAACATTTTGAATCGTTAATTCGAAAAGCAGCGCTGGCATGAAAAAAATATAAAATCTGTAAATTATGCTATTTAATGAGATGCAACCGAACTCTGTAAACAAATTAACGACAAACAAACGGGACTTCCGCGGCCAAAAAAAAAAAACATACATAATTCATGACGCATTTTACAACAGAATATTCGCGTACGCAGAGCACAGCTAAAGCGACTGCAGAGCATCAGACATCTGTTGAGAATAGACTCCCGCTGATAAAAATAATAATTGGGAAGTAAATTAGAGTGGCAACCAATCTTCGGGTGTTTCATCATAAGCTCAGGAACTGTTTTTTTTTTGTGTGTAGAACACATAGCGGGCAATATCCAGGCTTATCAATGAAGCGTGCCCAGGCCTAAGCGTGAATGGCACACACAGCTAGGCCTTGCCGAGTACAGGTTGAGGCCTTTCGACGTTCAGTGTCGGCGGGGCCCCACATCTGAGGCTTCTGAGCACAAGAGGTGACTGTGCGTGCACTGGAATCTCCAGCCGCTGCTTCAGTAGAAATGTACCTCGAACGCCATTCGCTCGACGGCGGCGGGGCGTGTGGAACATCTTTTGTAAAAGCCCGTGGCGATGTTTATTGCCCCAGCGTTCAGCCATCGTGCACACAGAGACCTCCACACCCCCCGACTTTATCATCTTTCGACAGGCCGTTGGGACGAGTTCTGTGAGAGAACGCCTACAAAGGGCCGGCACGACAACAGTGCTGATGTTTACACACCGCACCGGGTGCTCATCTGAGGCTGAGTTGATCTCGGGGAGGGCCCAGGACCAGGTGACGATATTCGTCACCGATGTTGGCCGCGGGTAGGAATCGAACTCGAGTGGCTGGGTTCTCAGTGCGGTGCACGAACTGCCACGCAACCGCGCGTTCTCAGGCGCTTGTTGACGCTCGATGCATCTGCTGCTGCTCGTCATTTTTGCTCAATGGCTGTCAGCCTGTCCACATTGCCATGCCTGTGGAGCCAATGGATGAAAAAACGATCCAAGTCTTGCAAGCCACGTCTTACACACTTGAGTGGCAAACATTTTGCCCAAATGCACAAGAGTGGCCATTATGGACCGTAGAGCCATGGCTAGAGTAAGGGTTAGGCGAAGACCAGTTCATTGATTGCACTACATATGTCTATATTCAGAGGATGGTACACGGTTGGCTACGTACGGTGCGAAAGAAGTTCAACATACATACAGTTGCTGCACGTTGCAGGAGCTCTTCACCACAAAGTGTCAGAGCAGATCTTAGAGCTGGGCTGGGGGAGCTGTGGGCGACGCTGCTCTGACCTCTCTGGCGAGCTGAACGTGTTCAGTTAACGAGGGTGAAGCAAGGTGAGGGAATGATCGGCAGGCGGTCCGCCCATGCCGTGTAGGTAGCGGCATGGGCGCCCGTCCGAGACGCACACACCTCGTGCCATCTGCCCAGAAATCTGTCCTGGCAAAACTGCCCCAGAGACAACATTTGGAATTATAATGAAATACATTTACAGCCTTTTGTCAATCCACTGCTGTGTCGCTTGTTTGTGGGTTGTTTGGCCATGCTTCACCACGCTGATCAGCACGGGTTGCCGCAGCACAGGCACGGGAGCAACTGAGACACCATCGATGTTAGCCTTGGCCAGGAATCAAACTCGGGTCCCCGGGTTCGTAGTGTGGCGCGCGAACCGCTACGCGACCGCCCGGTACCCCTCGTAGGCTAAACCTGATGTCACTGCAATCAGAGTCGACGTCTTCTTGGCAAGCTCACTCGCTTTGTTTACAATTTGATTTTTGCACGTCCATTTGTCGATGCGTATCCCGTTGCAATTCCCCGTGGCGTCTCGCCGAGCGACACACCTCTGCGGTCTCTCTCTCTCTCATGTTTGTCTTGCTTCCTCCTTCCTTTCTATTCTTTCCTGCTTTGATATTCCAGGACAATTCCTCCGCCATACCGCCCTCGCCGTGCACGTGAGCGTCGTCACGCAGGCATCCGGTAGCCCGCTTGGGGGAATTGGAGAAATAAAACAAATAAAAAATAATAAAAACTCTAACGATCGTCTTGGAGCTTGGACGGGTCTCGTGAGCCCCAGGGCCAGGCGGTCTCCTGCTTGCTGTGTGCCCGTCCGCCTCCGTGCTGCCAATCACCACGGGCCCTGGTGGCTACCCTCGTGTCACAGCCACGGCAGCGGTGAGAGTGCAGTTGTTGTTGCTGTTTAGCAAGTGGTGAGCAAAGGACAACTGCCGTGTATTCAATTAGGCGTGTGTATAACCTTCTTTCTAAATAATAATAACGCAGTGTAAAGTCAGTGAGGTGCATATTTATGTAATTGGGTGCAGCGGTGGTGCAGTGGTTCGTGCTCCTTCCTGCACTGACTAAGGTGGTGTAGTATCAGATAAAACTAGCCCCATGGCTAACACTGCTTTGGAATGTATTCATGCAGCAGTGGATTGAGAAAGGGATACAACTTATGTATTATTCTTGCCATGATCCAATGTTTTCTTATGTGGATGCAGCACGAATAAGCAGAGGCATGGAGGGGAAGTGGCAATCTGCGCCTGGGCAGAGGTTGTCACGCAGCAGTGCCCTCGACTCGTACCACGTGACTCCCTCACGTGGCTCTCACCACGTGGCACGCCGTCATTCTCCACAATAACGCGGATGATTAGTTTCATTAAATCGAGTAATCGGATTACATTTCTGGTGATCGGTCCGATTACTCAACTAAACACGTAAGAAATTAATTGGGGGGGGGGGGACATCAAGTTCCACCTCTGCTTCAATGCGTGACGCTGGATGGATGGTAATGGGCGGAGCTCGGTGACGTCATTGGCATTACTGGCAGCATCACGCCCCTATGGCACGCGCCCCTGTGGAACGCGGCCCTACGGAATGCGCCCCTACGGCACGCGCCCCTACGGCACGCGCCCCTGTGGAACGCGCCCTACGGAACGTGCCCCTATGGAACGTGGCCCTATGGCACGCGCCCCTACGGAACGCGGCCCTACGGAACGCGCCCTGTGGCACACGGCCCTGTGGCACGCGGCCCTACGGAACCCGGCCCTACGGAACACGGCCCTACACAGGCCCCACGCACCTTTATCGGCAAGACGACGATGTACTGGCGCGCGATGGGAGGGGCCGTAGCGGCACGCACCTGCACGCGGGTGATGTACGTGGGCTTGTTCATGATGATCCAGGTGACGGTCTCGTGGCACGGCGGCGTGGTGAGTGAGCCGTCGTACGTGATGTAGCTCTGCGTCTCGGGGTAGACGTCCTCCACCGAGAGCTCGCGCAGCAGGTACGCGTCGTCTGCACCACCCACAGGAGGTCGGGAGGGAGTCAATCAACTCTCAACGCGTCAAGAAAAAGTTGCGTTTTCAAAAACATTCTCATTAAGTGGCAAAGCACGAGCGGTGTTATTGCGTTTAATTATCACGCCACCCGTCTCCGCATGCAAATTAGCGCAGCCTTCTGCTTGTACATTTTTTTTTAAATCAAATAAATGCCCACCGAGACTGCGATAAACTTTGTACAAAACGCCCGAATGCAGACAGGCGCGCAGTGCGTTAACGCTTCGACTTGTAACGCTGTTAATCTAAGTCCACTTGCAAACAGTGCACATGGAGCAAAGTGGTGTTTACCCAACGGGGACTTCGCGCGTGCCCCGCTGCGTTCCAACACCGGCACGCACGCCGAGTGTTGAAGCGCACAGTGAAAGTGACCTTTGCTCGGCGATCCGCGCGAGTGAACTTTGCCACAAACGGAATGCTCCCTTTCACAACGTACGGCGTGGAAGAAGTTCAACATATACACATACATACGTAATCGTTTTAGTTCACAGTTGTAATTGTTTGTGATGGCCCACACAATTCCGTCTTTAAATCGGATTCAAGCTCCAATTACGCTGTCCACTGAAAGTTTGCAACGTCCATCAAAACTGCTGCGAGGATGAACGTCGATTTGGTGAATCCGAGCGTGCAGTGTCACCGATTGTTCACTTTGAAAGCGCGAAACGAGAGTCCGTCAAGAATTAAACAGCACCGCAGGAGACTCGGCTCACTGCAACACACGCGCCCCAAGTAGCACACACGCACCCCCCAGCAGCACACACGCACCCCCCAGCAGCACACACGCACCCCCCAGCTGCACTCACGCACCCCCCAGCTGCACACACGCAGACCCCAGCAGAACACACGCACCCCCCAGCTGCACACACGCAGACCCCAGCAGCACACACGCACCCCCCAGCTGCACAAACGCACCCCCAGCTGCACTCACGCACCCCCCAGCTGCACACACGCACCCCCAGCTGCACACACGCACCCCCAGCTGCACACACGCACCCCAAGTAGCACACACGCACCCCCAGCTGCACACACGCACCCCAAGTAGCACACACGCACCCCCCAGCTGCACACACGCACCCCAAGTAGCACACACGCACCCCCCAGCTGCACACACGCAGACCCCAGCAGCACACACGCACCCCCCAGCTGCACACACGCACCCCCCAGCTGCACACACGCACCCCCAGCTGCACACACGCACCCCTAGCTGCACACACGCACCCCTAGCTGCACACACGCACCCCCCCAGCAGCAAACACGCACCGCCCAGCAGCACACACGCACCCCAAGTAGCACACACGCAGACCCCAGCAGCACACACGCAGACCCCAGCAGCACACACGCACCCCCCAGCAGCACACACGCACCCCCCAGCAGCACACACGCAGACCCCAGCAGCATACACGCAGACCCCAGCAGTACACACGCACCCCAAGTAGCACACACGCAGACCCCAGCAGCATACACGCAGACCCCAGCAGTACACACGCACCCCCAGCAGCACACACGCAGACCCCAGCAGCATACACGCAGACCCCAGCAGTACACACGCACCCCAAGTAGCACACACGCAGACCCCAGCAGCACACACGCACCCCCCAGCAGCACACACGCACCCCCCAGCAGCACACACGCACCCCCCAGCAGCACACGTGAATGAGCGGGCTACTAATGTTCGCTTACGCGCCTCATTCTGCTTAATCACTGTATTAGTTTGAAGTGGATATTTTTTAATGAACAATAGTGACCTATATTATTATTAAATGCAGACAGTCCTCATGTATCATTACTTATAATATGATTAAATATACTCCCGCAGTGGATGCTGTGCAATTGAGTCATTTCCTGCTGTTCAAGTGATAATTGAGACGGCGATCATCTCCAGATTACAAGCACTGAGCCGTTGGTGGACATTCCACATTCCTATGGAAGGGGCGAATCTCTACAACGTGGTACTCATTTAACTGTGGAAGGAAAGATAATGAGCTGAGTAAACCCCAAACTAGGAGTTGAACTTTGGTAAGGGAGGTTTAATTTGGTCGCGAGAATGAAATATGAGCCACAGGCAAACGGGGCCTTCCAGATCACAGCTGAACGTGCGCAGTGGCCGAGTGGCTCAGAGGTCGGAGCACCGAGATCCTGGTCCCTCCTCTGGATCCCAGCCACCCGAGTGTAACAAGCTGATGATAGTAATAACAACAACGTTTTTGTCGTGCACAATGTTGCATTAATTTAAATGACCATGAGGCGTGGAGCCAAGTTCAGCGTCGCTCGCAAGCCAGGCCAAAGAGGTGGGGCCTTTAAGAGAGAGGTGGGACCTTTAGGTGTGTCATCAAAGTCTGTGCAGATCGAACGCTGCTGCTGCTGATGTGCAGGACCCGCACGACGGGCGCGTTCCAGACGACCGGGAAGTTGCCTCTACGGTGTCAAAACGACCACTCACCGCACAACAATCCACGGTGTCACAATTTGGTTTGTCGTTTCCTTTGGCTAAATCCCAACTCTGAGAATTACAAACATGGAATTGACTGCGGCGGGACAAGGCTGTTGCCTGCCTCCCTCCCTGCCCTGCGGTGTAGAGAACGCAAGGGAGCACTCAGAAGGCTTCTCGGAGAGGAGTCCGGAGAAAAGTCGGCTATTTCCTGACACGTGGGGCGCGCCGCTCTGCAGGGTCGCCGACCCGATTCTTCGTGCCGCGGTGCGGCGCCGACAGCGGCACGGCCACGGAAAAGCGGCGGTGGAAAAGAAGAAGAAGAAAAATGCTAAACAAAATGAAGCGACGTGAACGCTGGGCAAGACTTGGCTTCCCCGATGGAGAGCCGACGTGAACGCTGGGCACGACTTGGCTTCCCCGATGGAGAGCCGACGTGAACGCTGGGCACGACTTGGCTTCCCCGATGGAGAGTCGACGTGAACGCTGGGCACGACTTGGCTTCCCCGATGGAGAGTCGACGATCAAAACTGCTCACGGTTGTCCCACAGGGGCCACGGAGCCGGCGAGCGCCCATCGGCTCGAGAACGACGGGCGGGCCCCCGGCGGGCTCGGCCGGGCCGCGTTCTACCACGGCACAGATTCTTCGAGACAAGAAGAGACGGCCTCCCTCTCTCTCTCCCTCTCTCGTCGCACACCGCCGTGGCGATCGCGCCGAACGGGGGGAGCCGTCCGAGCGGACGTGTGAGTAATCGGGCCCGCGCAGTTTGGATATATGATTATTTTTGTGGTTTTAAATTAATTGATGATCCTTCAGTAAATTACTTGCATTTACATTGGCTGCTGACATATGGGCTACGCCCATTTCAAACCCTTATAAATTTTGCCTTTGGAAGCTAACCCCCCTTTTCCTGAAGTTGACCGCTTGTGTTGCGATCGAAACGTCGTAATTTTGTGTTTTGTTCTTTTCTTTGAACCTATCTACGTGACTTTACCGAAAGACCCAAATAATATAAATTCCTGCAGTCACGAAAGCTTTAAGTTAAGATATTACCCATAGTTTCAGAAAGGCCCCTGAAGGCAAACAAATCCTCAAAAAGTCTTGGCAACTGTGCTGGTCGCTCCGCTCGCCTTACCAGCACTTGTGCGAGTATCGTTTTAATTAAAACTGCTCCTGTTCTCAGGGGTTATAAAATAATAATGAAATAACGCCACAAAGCCCCCCAAGGCTTAACCATCTTTTAACAGTCAATTATTTTCACGAAAATTATCTACTGTGCATATTTTTGGAACTTTCTTCCGAGAGGGACGGCAGAGAGACAGGATGACGGCGTGCGTGGAGTCGCCCATCTGCGCTTGGCACTTGGCAAATCATTTTGCAAATTATCAACAAGGTATCTTGAGAAGCCATGCAAACATTTGGCTTTGTTCTCGACCGTGGGCGTTGACAGAATTCGCGACTTCGATTGCGCGCCAGCGCGCCGACGCCTCGCGGCTTGCAGGTCCTCTGGCCACGAGCGCAGCAACTCACTGCGGACGGCACGCATGCTGAACGAATCACCAGGCTTAGAGGCGAGATGATTGGGAACTGGCTGGGAGAGAACAACTCTTGCAAGCGGGGCCGCATGTATGGTGGATTGTAAGCGGCACTCACTGTGCCCTTCCCCTTCAGCAACAGCATCGTCAGCCCCGGACCACCACCGATGCCACAGTCCATGTCGTTCGTGCGCGCGAGCCCATCGCTCGCTCCGTCTCTGTGGCGGTCGTTCCGTTCCTGTCATCATCTCCTCTCGCGCTGCCCTTCCGTCGCCAATCTCGGCTATCCTCCGCGTTCTCCGTTGAGCCGCCGCCTGCTGTTCCGCCCGAGTCCACCGTCGCCGTTCCAGAGCCAGCCCCTTCGCCGTTCCCGACGCTTCGCTTGCTCGCGTTGTTGCCCGATCCGTGCGCCCCTCCCCTCCGTTCCTGGGTGAAATTCCCAGCGTGCATCTCTCCGCACTCACGTCGTCGACTCTCCAGCGTTTTGTTCCGTTTTTATCCGTCGCTGACGTCTGTGGTTCTGAGCCATATTTCTCGTCCGGGGCTGCGTGTCCTGATTAAGGCAGATGCTCTGTTGCTTTTCTTGATCAACGTCACCCAGCCGCTCTTTAGTTCACCATGCATGATGAATGCAACCGTTACATAAAATAAGATACACATACGCTTATGCTTGGACATAATTTTGCTAATATTCACGAAGTGTAGAGAGAGCCTCAGTATGTAAAACAACAAGGAGCAGCCTTGTTTAGAAAGACTAATTGTAAATTTGTGTATGCAGATATTTTCCTGAAAATAAAAGCAAATTGCAACATACATTAAACTCAACTGAATTTTTTATAGCCTTCAGCTGCAATGACTGTATCACACCGAGAGAAAAGCAAGCTTCTGTCTGCGACCTTCCCCGTGCGTTTCTCAATCCATATTTAACGCGAGCACTCTGAATTATTCACCGCCATCTCCTTGGTGGCTCATCCACCGTGATGAGCTACAGCAAAGCTGCGACCTAGGTAGCTGCTGGTGATCTTCCTATAACAGCCACCCCCACACTCACAATCGTCACAGCCATCTCCTGATGCTCACATGAGCGCTGAAGGAAGTACAGAGCCAGCCGTGGAAAATCCACATTCATACAAAGCAGTACCAGGATGTGAACTCGCAACCTTCTGGATTGCGAGCCGCTCGCTCTACCGCTGGAGCCACCTGCGCTAGGCGGGCGAGGCGCTTAAATTGGCCGGGGCGGATCCGTGACGGTCAGACACGCGACGCTGGGACGCTGTACCGCACCGGTGAATGATGTCGTCAAGCGGTGGATAAGTGGACGTGGGGTTGTGCGCGCGCGATCGAGCGCCGGAGTAACGCAGCGCGAGCTCGGGGCCGATCGTTCCGCTCGCGCATCGCTCTGCCAAAACCACACGGCTTACTCTTGTACGTGATCCTCGTGATGGTGTCTCGATTCAGGAGTTTATCCAGAAATTGATTTGGAGATTCTGACACCTGCAACAGAAACAGACAATACGATTGCATCTCACAAACACACTCGCTCGCACGGGCGCGGCCAGTAAGCACCGACTGAAGACAGCACGTGACATCATTGTTCACGGCACCTTCAAGTGTCAGTGGGTTATTGACACAGCTAGTTGGGTGTAACAATTAAAGTTGATTCTTGAGCTCGCGATACAATCACTGAATATCATGGGTAAGATGTAATGTTTGTTGACTTGTACGTATCGTATTTGACCCCCGCAGCCACTAGAGGCACGACACGCACGGGGAATATAATCACATTATTCGAACAAAACCGTTGCTGCATCGGGGCTTGCGACTTTTTGTTGAATTGTCAGTGAGCTCAATGTCTCCACTGGAGCAAATCCATTCTGTCCGGGGCTCTAAGTTGACAATTTATTTGCAGAGAAAAATGCGCAGACGATAAGCCCCCCTCTCTCCCTAATTATATATTTATATACAACCCCAACCCCTCAAGGAGGGGGGGGGGGGGCGGTGACGTCACCACGCCGCCCATCTGTGTGGTGAGCCCCCCTCCAGCGCCAGGTGCGTGACCGCCGGCAGTGGCCACCAACGCCCCGCAAATGACTCGGTTGGGACTACGCACGCGGGGGGACATCGCCCCCCCTCCCGCCCCCACCGACTGCGGAAACTTGGCAGGACCCTCCTGGTAAAACAAAAAGAGTCTTGAGACTCTGCGAGGCTTTGCTGGGTTAAGAAGCGTGGTGCTGGTAATCGTAAAACGACCTACGGCCTTTGGGACCGAACAACGCCGATGGAAGCGCAGCCGGCCCGCGGACGCGCGGCAGCGACATCCAACCTCGCGGTAGGCGACGTTGCGCGGGCACCCCCCTTGAGGCTCCGGGCACCCCCGTGAGGGTCGGGGCACCCCCGTGAGGCTCTGGGCACCCCCGTGAGGCTCCGGGCACCCCCCTGAGGCTCCGGGCACCCCCCGTGAGGCTCCGGGCACCCCCGTGAGGCTCCGGGCACCCCCCGTGAGGCTCCGGGCACCCCCGTGAGGCTCCGGGCACACAACCAACCTTAATGAATATGGAGACGACGACCAGTCCGTTGGGGTTCCGCGCAGCCTCCGACGCGTTGGGATACAACTCGTGGTTGTAATGGATGAGCTGAACCTGCCGAGTAATGAGACGTGACGTGCGAGAGGCATCAACAACAACAACGACGACAACGACAACGCCACCGAGATATAAAAGGTCTTCGGTAAATGTCAGCCCTTGCTAGGATGCAGTGCGCTGGGGGTGAATGACGCGGGCGGTGGTCTCGTCCCGTTGCCCGCAATCCTCTCCGTCCCTCTTCGATGGCCGAGAAACAAGAGAGCGGCTCGCGTGCTGGCACCCAACTCCCCCCCCTCCCACGCCAGTTACGGGAATTGTGTGGGGGAGGGGGCAGGTTTCACTTTCAATCAAGAAACCCACTCTTTTGTCTGGTCTCGTTTGCATTGTCTTAACCCCCCCCCCCCACACACACACACCCCTTCCCCCACCATCTCATTTGTATCCTCTTGGCCTCCGTGCCACGTTCGTCTATAAATGGTTACATTTTGATCTCATTTGCATAGATTGGACGTGATCAACCGTCGCAAGGATTGCTTCCTGTGTCCCGAAATCGCCAAATCTCGTCACGTCGCAGAAGCTGAGCAGGGGTTGAGCCTGGAGAGGGATTGGATGGGCGACCGCCGTGTGGCGTACGGACCGTGTTCCGTTGCAGCAAAATCCATAGTTATACTATACTACGCTTCCAGCGTCTATGGCTCCCCACCTGCACCAAACCCACACCAACCGGCGCAATCAAACGACCCAGACAAGCCGCCCGACTTATCTGGGTCGCAAGGGGATTTTCACTCGAGCCAGCTACACGCCACGTGCACCGCTCGGAGGCCCATCGACGCACGCATAACGAGCGAAGGAATGGACAACGATCGATGCACCGCATCCCAAACCGAGCACGGGGCAGCGCGCTCTGCGCTCGAGCGTGCGCGCCGCCTCTTGCGCTCTCGGCTCGCTCGTCCTGACACCGTGGCGATGTACTGCGGTGCATAATGGGAGAACGGCGAGACAACACCAAAATATAGGACCACAGCGCTTGGGCAATTGTTGGGAGCGCCGCTTCTGTCTGCCTTCCCGCTCATCTGTGGTTTCGCACGCATCCATGCGCGACAACCGTGCTCGTTACAAAATCCTACCGCAGCGTTTTGGCATGAAATTTGCACGACTGACACTGTGTGCAAATACAGTAAAGTTATCGTAAGAGTAGCATTAGCACGGGCTTGATGCAGCGGGAGACGGGGGGATATCTATACACGCAGTTCAGTGTTTCAGCCGATTCATGATTATGTATGTAGTTGGGTTGATAGGCCACAAAGTGGTGACTTGAAATACGGAGGAGGTTGTGGCGGTTGAGGTGGAAAATGCGGAAAGTCGCACCTGGAAGTCCGGAGGGCAACGGCGGGTCAAGGTCGTGCAGACGCGTTAATTTGTGTTATTGTGAAAATGCCATGAATATTGCGATTGGTGTCGCTAAAGGCTCTAATTGTGATTGTCGCACCATTGCCGGGTGAATGTATATCTTCCTTAATTGCAGTGGTAATTTGGCGAGGCCTCGCCGTGCGCGCTCCGCGGCGCGGAGCCATCGCTGGGCCACGCTGGCGGTGCCTCCGTCGCAAATGAACGGGCGATTGAAAACGACGTCATGATCCTCCCGCAAATTTTTTGACGTAACGCTTTTATTACCTAAACAACATCGGGTTTATGGCTACAAGCTGAATAAATTATGCATCAATAAACCCCTGTGAGACCATTTAGAGTAATTAAAAAAGACAACTACGCGGCTAAAATGGAATAAACAGCAATAGCTAAAGGTCAGAGGAATGGCCACTGCTGATAATGGCTGTGGGGAAGTCGTGGGTGAGCCACGTTCCGTCAAACGCAAGGCAGGCGAGCGGCAAATGGATTAATCTGTTTCGGCATTTGTCGAGGATGTGCAGTCCTTTAACGGCAAGGTGATGTGACCACGAGCAGCTGTCAACACAGAGTGTCAGATTGTGCGGTAAACTGCAGGTGCGACGCGGCTTAATTGCTGACATTCACACTAGAGCATCATCGCGTACGCATTTGCATTTATAGTGCATGATGTACGTTGCTAACGCGCCTTTTAATGATCGCAAGATTTTTTGTTGTCTGTCTCCCCCCCCCCCCGCCCACATTCTATGCTGATTGTGCTATCGGCGTCATCATCATCATCGTCGTCGTCGTCGTGAGATAAGGAGATAACACGGAACCGGCTTCTCGAATCCATTCCAGCGGCCTCTTATCCGCACCAGGGGGTAGCACTTCCTCACTGGCACTGCCAGAGAGAACGATGGTCGTCACTTGACAGTAACTCCGATATTGTCGCTTCTCGGAGCTGGATTAAGTGCAAACCTCAAACCTGTGCAGTCACGAATGGCCGCCGCCACGCCATCAACTCGCCAACCACCGCACCTCCGATTAGCGCCGTTGGCTACGCACGGCGCGAAAGAAGTTCAACGTACGCGCGTGCACACATACAACAAAACACAGCACGGACGAGAGTGAGACGCGCGAGCCGTGTCCGTTCCCGATCGCCGCACCTCTCCGGGGAATGCCTGCCCGTTGAGGAGGTGCTCCGAGCCCTGTCTGTCCTCGCTGCCAAAGTGGATGCGGACCTCCTCCAGGCGGTGGTTGTAGGTCATGGGACCGCCCGACACGTTGACCAGGTGCTCCTTGTCCAGGCGGAGCGAGATGTACTTGCCCGTGTTGTACATGGTGCCGCTGATCTGCACGCGCACGCCGACACACGAGGACGCCGTCTGGGTCGACGACCGCCGAGCGGCGTTCCAAGCGACCCGGCTGGAGGACAACGCTTGGCCCGTGCCACTCTCCCGTGCCACTCTCCCGTGCCACTCTCCCGTGCCACTCCCCCGTGCCACTCCCAAGTGCCACTCGCGTCTCGCCCGCCCCGTGCCACTCCAAGGCAGCAACACCCAAAGTATATACGCATATTACCTTGTAAATATTCAGTTGCTTTCAAGTTATTTAGTGTTAATTTAATCTGTTGGGTGTTAATGACGTGCGAAGGTAATATTAATATATTAATAACGCGTACTTTAATTATTCACGGTTCCCTAGGCGTTCCCTACAAACGAGAAGGATCTTCTCGAAGTTGCTCCGCCCTCCAGAGGGTTTCTTTCACCGTCCAGCCACGCGTGACGTTTGCATCTCGATTACGAGCAGAATGACGAAAAAGCACCCTTGAAAAAACACTTCTATAGCCAGAAATCTATTTAGCGAGCACTGCAAGCGGACATTCGTGGGATGGGTCCAAGTGGTAAACAACAATACATTGCACCGCGACGCTTGAAGCTTCGCTTGCCATGGCGGGCCCACGGACGCGCCTTCGCAGAGTGCCCTTTGTGATGAATAATATGACGCGCTTGAATTTGTTGTTGTTGCAACGCGCTCATTATTGCTGTTAATAATGTGGCGCACAAAGGCAACGCACGCGGCGCAAGGATAAGTAGCACATGGCAATGCGCTGCTTCATTTACACAAACACACACACACAAACGGAGCAGAAAAGTTTGCGAATTTGCCCCTTGACATTTACCGCCGCCGAATCCACCGCCGAGAGACGGGCGACACGACCCAGATGCAGGCAGCCCTCTGCGCCGACCACACCTTCTGGGGCTATTTCACGCCCGTTTCTGCGCGCGAGCATCATCACTGATGCTCCCGCGTGCTCTGCTTGCTCCGGGCGGGCGAGAAATTGAGCGAGCGAGCGAGCGAGCGCCGATCCACGCGCGCATCCCTCTCGACAGCGAACGCGGTTCTTGCAGACAAACATGACTCATGCGATTGCAGCGTACAGCAGCAATGTGCAGCAGCAGTAGCAGCAACGTGTAGCAGCAACGTGCAGCAACAGTGTGCAGCAGCAACGTGCAACAGCAGCGTGCAGCAGCAACGTGCAGCAGCAGCGTGCAGCAGCAGCGTGCAGCAGCGAGCAGTAATAGCGTGCAGCAGCAATGTGCAGCAGCAGCGTGCAGCAGCAATGTGCATCCGCAGCAGCATGCAGCAGCGAGCAGTAGTAGCGTATAATGGAACACCGCCAATCATGGCAAGTGCAGAGGCACATGCAGTTCATTGCTCAGGACACCGGCGCACAAGCGACTTGGCTTTGAAGCGAGACGCGCGTTTCCCTGTCGTGGCCTGTTGCGCGCATTGCTTGAGCGCCGCTGATTCTCGCAGGAAATCGTTTCTCTCCAGGTGCGCTACATTCTGTTGGGAGTTTGTTGTTGCTTGGGAAGCCAACAGCCTGGCGTGTAGCAGCTTGCGTTTCGTGTTCAAGCTTCTCATATCCCCCCCGAACAAACTACTTCAGATGACAATGGTTTTTGCTGAATTGATTTGAACAACAACCACAACAACAATAAGTAGCCCATGCTAAGGAGCGGCTGGTGTTGTGGTCATGCACTCTGCAGCTCCGAGCTTCTCTCTTCCCTGCGCAGTGGCAGACAAATGGCGAGAAGCCGAACGCTTGTGGTCGTGCAGAAGAGAAATATTATGATTCCTGTTGTTGTTATTATCATTCTGCTTATTTACCCAGGAAATCCTCAGCGAGACTCTCTTATTCAGGAGGCTCCTGCCAAGTTGTATCGCGGTACAGGTTGCTTTGTGTAATCCTCATTGAGTGTTTCGCAGGTAATTATTCGTCATTGGGATGTTTGGCCAACGCCGGTTCACGCCGTGTGTTATTGTTTTGTTCGCTGTGGGATGAACACGGAGGAAACCCACGCAGAACAAGGGGGGTGGGGGGGGAGAGAACATCCGTGCATTTAATAACCTGGAGGTGAAATCTTTCCCGAGTTCTCGCCACCGGTTAAACGCGATTGCCCCGCCCGTGCAAGATCGGCGTTGTCGGTAAAGGAAATGAGGCTGGCGCCGAGCGCCGTGGCTGTTTGCCGGCAGACTCCAGCAGACAGCTGCGACTTTGAACGCCCGCGACGTCTGCCAGCGGCACGCGCTGCCTGGCTGCCTGGCAGTTCACGAACGAGGATTTTCGGCGTGCGCGCACGCGCGCATTCATTTGGAGGCAACGCGCTACTCAAGTTTTACAAGCCAATTTAAAGGCTATAATGTAAAAACAAACACACACACACACGCGCGCGCAGAGGAAAAACATCTGGAATTGCTTTGCTGTGCTTAATTGTTGAGGGAACACGATACACCACTTCTCGTTAAGGAGAATGGCGAGGTTTTTTTTTTACCCTGCGCCTCGATTGGTGCGCGTTAAGCGTTTCCCTTAATCACTCCCACGGCCGGCGCTCTACCAATGTTCGACAGAGTAAACGGCGACTCCCTCGCAGGGAAGGAGGGAGGGAGGGCTGCTCTTTTGCAGACCGCGTGCGTGCATTCACGTTGCACTGCGCTCCTGCGTGCCCAAATCCACTCCTCCGCCTTCCTCGCGCCCTGAGCAGAGCGCCACGTATCCGGGAACGACTCGCCGAGTCTCAACACTACTAAGACTCTACAGGACATCCGTGGGAAAAAAAATAGCTTCATAGCCCCATCGGCTTCCTCCAGTATAAACACATACTTTGATTCTGAAAACTCGCTTTAAGTAAGGACCTGCTCCGTTGGGATGTTTGGCGATTTCCATGACTGAGTGTTTTTTTTTCCAGCCCCGCACCTCCGATTAGCACGGCTGTCTATGTACGGTGCGAAAGAAGTTCAACGTACGTACATACAGCCGGTCGGGGGTGGCCGCGTGAGCCGGCGATCCAGCACTGAGGAGGCAGCGAGGGGTGGCGGGTCACACAGATGTCGCGAAACTCCCTCCCCATGGTCAGAATTGCGTGGGCACCACGGCGTGGGCACCACGGCGTGGGCAACCCCAGCGTGGGCACCACAGCGTGGGCACCACAGCGTGGGCACCACGGCGTGGGCAACCCCAGCGTGGGCAACCCCAGCGTGGGCACCACAGCGTGGGCACCACGGCGTGGGCACCACGGCGTGGGCACCACGGCGTGGGCACCCCAGCGTGGGCACCCCAGCGTGGGCACCACAGCGTGGGCAGAAATGCTGCCTTGGGGCAGTGGTCAACCCTCGCGATCCAGAGGTCGCTGGTTCGATTCCAGAATCACAATGAGGAATTCGATGAGCCAGAAAGCTCTTTTTCACAGATGTCCAGTAGATTCTATCTCCCGGAACGGTGGTTCACACACGGGGCAAGTTTCTTCAATCTCACACCGTGGTGGCTACAACCACGTCCGCTATAGCCCCGCCCTCAGTGCTGTATGGGCATAAAGGGCGGGGAGCCAGAGAGCTCGGGGCAGTGTGTTGGGGCCAAGAATGAAGAACCAGTGAAGAAGGAAGGCCGGCTAGATAGACCCTGGGACTTCCCTGACCGCAGTCCGTTTGAGGGCCGGCAGGGTAAGCCAGTGGTGCGGCCCCAGAGCCTCAGAGCCGGAGCCCTTTAAGGGTCAGTCTGGTTGGTGGGGTGCCGTGACCTGTGCCATGACCAGGGCCAGGTCAGATAGCCTCCCTTAGCGCCTGTAGCGGAGGAACTGGGAGCACAGTGGTTAGGCTGATAGCCTAGGGGGTGTCCCAGTGTGTATACGGGTGGAGGGGCCGTTACCCCTTCCCAGTGTAACCCTTGCCAAGCCTTGAATAAACAGTGCTGCCTCTACTCCACCGTCTCCGTGTCCCGTGAACCCACTACACCTGTGTGGACCCATCGGTGAACGCAGTGCGGGTGCCGTAGTTGGCGAGCGGCAGATCGCACGTGGTGGAGTAAAGTATGGGTACTTCCACCTCTTCTAGGACGTATGAGCAGCGTAGAAGAGTAGGCCAAATACCCTATTCTAGAGGGGCTCTATAGAGCTCCCTCCAGTGAAGAACCTTCCACCTGTAGTGGCGTGAGCAGGAAATTGCAGCCTTACCTTTGCATCTCCGATTTAAAGACTGGAAGATTCCACTCCAATCGGGAATGGGAGAGGCATTTTGTGCGTTTCCTGGCACTGGTCAGGCTCGGCGCCTTATCCCGGCGATCCCTCGTAGGTCACAAGGTCAAGCCCCACGTTTTAATCGCGGAATGAGAAACTGCACACTTTGTTGCCAGACGCGGACAGAGATCCACGACACACAGCGCCTCGTAAAATCCGCGTGTCCACAAGACGGGAGGACGCCAGTGAATGAGTTAAACGCACGCGCCTCGTGTCAACACGAGCGCGCGTGTTTACACGGCGAACGCGGACTTAATTCAAGCTAACTGCACAGCTAAAACATTCGATGGCGTGCTTCATCGAGCGGAACTCATGCGCCTCTTCGGAAGGGGAGGAGGCTTGTAGACAGCAAATTGCAAAGAGATGTGCCCAGCATGGCCATTCTATCAGCAACAGCAGTCTTCTGGAGCACGCGACTGATATTGTTGTAAAAAAAAGGAAAACTCGAACGCATTTGTCAATAACACCGTGCGGCCTTAAAATACAATTATGAAGGCACAGACGACGTTTCGGGCGATGGTCCTTTTTAATAGCACATTCCCAGCCACGGCTAACATCAGTGACGAGTGATGTCTGAACCAGCCTACACCGACTAGCGTGGTGAAGTATGGTCAAGCAACGCTCGTGACCAACACAGCAAGGGGTGGAGGCCTTCATCCACCAGTGCATTGACAAAGGGCTGGAAATAGCAGTAATAATAAAACATTATTTCAAGAATCGCATAATTGGACGCAGCCTAGAAAACCCTGAACGTTGAACCACTCACAGAGTAATAA